TAGGTCTTTTGTTCATGGCCCTCCCAGAAACTGCTGCTCAAGTCTCAGGAAACTGAAATTGAGGACTGATCTCTGAGAGAAGACTGGGCAGCCTGCTATGGTGTCTGCTTGGTCCTTTCAAGGTCATAGTATACAGGGAGGAAAGGCAAGGCAAAGTCAAGGCAGGAACTTGAAGGCAGGCTGCTTTCTATTGCACACAGCATTACCTATCACTTAGGAACTCACTTCATAGTCTAAGAAGCACAGTTGTGGGCTGGCTGGCTGGCTTATACTTAGCTAGATTTCCTCTATAGCCTGGGGCCGCCTGCCTAGGGATGGTGCTGCCTGTGCTAGGCTGTGCCTTCCTACAGTCAATCAACAATCAGACAATCCCTCACGGACTTGCCTATAGGCTAATCTGATCTAGGGATTTCCTCAATTGAGGACCCCTTCTCAGGTGACTCTAGGTGATGTCACATTGACAGTGAAAGCTAACCAAAGCACTCTATAGTCCATCTTTTTAAAAAAGCCGGACATGCTCTGTTCCATCAAACAATAGACAACGCACCTTTAGTGTGTCCAAGGGATGCTATAAGGGGTACACCCACCCGGCCTTGGTCTTTGAGAAACCTACCTTCCTTAATGGAGAATCAAGCAATGAAAAGAATAAAAATAAAAATCATCAACGGGGCATAGGGCACATCATGATAAATAGGATATGACTTCCTACTTGAGGAGCCTCCAAAGGACAGAGGTTGACATTTATATCATCACCAATAGCCAGCCTCTTGCCATTTCTCCTCCTTAGAAAGGAGATGTTTGACTGAGTCATGGGGACAGAATGTTTGCTTCCAAGAGCCAGTATTATTGTCAACCAGTACCCGAAGCTCTACCGCCACTCACAGAACCCAGACAGTCTTCAGAGCCTGCATGCTGTAGACCGGAGCTGTCTCCTCTACAGAACCCTGAAAGACATCCAGACTGCTTGTGACAGTTTGGCAAGCTCAGTGGTGACATCATTTCCTAACAATAGACACACTTAAAATTAATGACCAGCTCCACATCCCCTCGCGCTTTCATTTAAAACACTCCAGCAGCATGGAGACTATTTCTCTGATGACGAGTCACAAGCAATGGGAACAACATGTTCCCAAGAAGCGGGCAGGGATAGCGATCTGCCTCCTTGGCTGGGGGGAGAAAAAGGCTGATTGAGCTTCCCCAAACTAGGACTTGAGAGACTCCGAAGTGGCTCAGAGCAGGGGAAATGTGAGGCAGGACCGAATGCAGCAGAAACAGTCTTCCTGGAGACATGCTTCTCCTCACAGGTGGACAAGGACAGACGCTCCCACATCCCCCTCCAGTGTTACCAATCCCTATCTCCCCACTGTTCACAGCATCACAACGGAATTCCAGACTCGCTTTCTAGGGTCCTTCACACCCTGCTTGCTCTATACTGAGTCTTTAGGGTCACCAGGGTTTGTGTTTGCCCTCTCCTCTCTCTTATAATCTAAGAGGTAGAATGTGGCTAATAATTGTTGATTGAATGCATGAAGCAGCCCGGAGTAGACTCTCTTCCTCAGTTATATGCACTCATTCATCCTAGAAGGATAAGGAGTGGTTTTAGAAGATGTCTATAGGAAAGGAAAGTCACAAGATGCTATTTTTAGACCCACAGCAACAGCCAAAAACGTGAAAGACTGACAAACGTCAAGCCTTGACGGGAATATAACAGGACTCGTGTGTTCATGAATCTCTAGCAGGAATAGCAATCGGTGCGGCCATTGGGGAGAACCATTAGTCAGTTTCATGGAAAGGTAAACACACATTTATACGGCTGAAGTGAGAAATGAAAACACATGTCCATAGACACACACACACACACACACACACACACACACACACACACACACACGCACGCACACATCCTGTGCAGGCTTTTGTTACAATACCTTAAGACTGGAAATAATACAAATGCCAACTGTTAGTTACTTTTATTTCTGTTGTGGCTCATATGGCTCACGTGTCCATCATGGCAAGGATAGAATGATGGAATAGAAGTTAACATCATGGCAGCCAGGAAGAAGAAAAAGGGACTACAGGAAGGGGGTGGGGCAAGATACACCCAAGGATTCATCCACCAGGCCTCGTTCCTCCAGCTAGGTCTCACTTTTTCAACTTAGACTTAAAATAACTCCAGCGGCTGGGACCAAGCACTCGATACCTGCATCTATCAGGGGCCATCTCGTATTCAGACCATAGCACAGATCAACAGGTAAAGGCATAAGTTAGTCAAGGTACCCCCATTATTTATCACAGTCTAGCCAACTCAGAACTATAAAGTAACGGTCAGTTGACATGTCACAGCATGGAAGAACCCAATAAACACACTGGTGAGGGAAAGAACCATTTACCACCGTTTCTATGGAATCCTACAAAGGCAAAGCTCATCTAAGAGTCAGAAAGCAGCTCTGTGTTGTCTGCAGAGAGGACACGTGCCAAAGGCACTTGAAGAGCTTTCTGGAAATTCAATTAGAAATGCTTTCAATCTTGATTGATATGGTAGTTGCAAACATTTGTTATACTTACTGAAGTGCACTTCAAAATGGTACTTTTTGGAGTACTACCGCACCTGCTTTTACATGGTTCTGAAGCTGGGACTTCTTGTTGCTAGTTCTTCCAACTGAGGCACAGTCAGTGATGGAGTAACCAAAATGGGGACATTTTCTTGAAGACAATCTTAATTGTACCTCAAGCCACTGAATTTAAAAGAAGAAAGCAGGAGTGTGGGGAGAGAATAACTGTACTCCACGGAGAATTCTCTCATTGTACAGTCAGATACTGTGGCATGTTGAGCAATATAGGTAGGAGATTCACTGATGCTACCGTATGGACCACTGGTTCTTGATTTTGAATGACAAGCAGTATGTCCTTTGTATGAATATATTGTTTGTTGATATACTCCCTTATTGTTAGGGATTTAAGTTGCTTCCCACTAGGGGCATGTTTTTAGTTGTTATACCAAAATGTCCAAGGCTAGGTAAGTACTTTATAAAGAAAAGAGGTGAATTCAAGTTCACGTTTTGGAGGTCAAAGAACATGGCACCAGTATGTATTCATCCTTGGTGAGGGTCTTATAGTAGATGAATACGAAGAAATTATATGGTAAGACAGGAAGCAAAAAAGATTCTGGGGGAGGTACCAGGCTTACTAATAACAATCTGCTCTCACGAGAGCAGCACTCTCAATGACCAAATTACTTACACTAATGTGGTGGTTTGAAAGAAAATGGCCCCCAAAGGGAGCGGCACTGTTAGAAGGTGTGGCCTTGTTGGAGTAGGTGTGGTCTTGATGGAGGAAGTGTGTCACTGTGAGAACAGGCTTTGAGGTCTTTTTCTCAAGCTTCACTCAGTGTGACTGTCAGTCAACTTCCTGTTGTCTCTGAGTCAAGATGTAGGCCTCTCAGCTCCAGCACCACGTCTGCCTGCAGCCACCATGCTGCCCACCATGATCATAATGGACTGAACCTCTGAAACTAAGCGAGCCACCCCAATGAAATGTTTCCTTCAGAAGAGTTGCCATGGTCATGGTGTCTCTTCACAGTAATAGAAACCCTAACTAGGACAACTAAGTTCCAGTTCTTGAAGGGCCCACCACCTGAGCTGGGCATGGGGAGACATGCATATAAACCCAGCCCTCAGGAGATGGAGGCAAGAGCACCAGGATCAGGAGTTTAAGGCCATCCTTGGCTACAATAGTTAAGTCAAGGTCAGCTTGGGCTACATGAGGCTTTGTCTCAAAAATAACTAAAAGGAAAAAAATGCGGGGAGGGACTGGAGAGATGGCTCAGTGGTTAAGAGCACTGGATGCTTTTGCAGAGAACCTGGGTTTGATTCCCAGCACCCACATAGTGGCTCACAACTGTCCTGTAACTCCAGTCCCTCTTCTGGCTTCCACAGGCACCATGCAAACTCAGCGCACAGACATACATACAGGCAAAACACCCATATACATATAACAAAATAATAAAGAAAGAACAGGTCCCGAACGCACCATGCCCACGCGGTTTTGTTCCCATTTCTTTCTTCCCTATTTCTTTCCTTACAAGTCTTTTGGCTCCTAGTCAGTTTCCTATGTTTGAAGTGTATTTGCTGGATTACAAGGTTCTCCAACTTGGTTTTTGGACAAGATTTGCTGATTTATTTATTTCAACTGCTGGGCCCATCTCGTCAGCTCCTTCTTTTCCTTCCTCTCACAGAGGGTACCTGCATGGTGTGAGAAGCAAGTTCTGGGGCCACCTGAGGCCAGAGGCCGTGGCATGGTACCCCCTGGTGCCTCTCTGTTTCCCCAAGTTAGCTGTGTTTTGAAAAGCTAGCCTTGGGCTTGGCTGGAGGAGCGACTGAGGAAGCATTTGCCAGGAGTGGGAAGAGAATGATTTCTAGAGCCAAAGTGGCTAAATACATTCTGCTGAAACCAGAAACCAGACCACATTTTCCCATACTATTTTGGTTTTGTGAGGCGCAAGTCTTTTTCAAACAATGAGAATAAAAAAAAATATTCCAAGCTCAGCCTGCGGTTGGAAACTCCATGAGTAACCATTCCCCCAGTGAACCTCAGGGGAGAAAAACACATATTTGCAGAGCCTAGTGCCTCCAGAGAGAAGCTCCCCAGCTGGTCCACATTAAGACAGCATTCTGTGGGGCGCCTAGGCCTGGCCAGCAATGCCTCCCTGCAGCGTGGAGCTGGCCCGTCCATCTCACCAGGTCACAAACCCAGAGCTCATTTCTGGTGTTCGCCCAGGTTTAGGGACACCTTGTAACTTTTTTTTTTTTTAATAAATTGATGTAAAATTCACACAAAATGTACCACCCCTTTAAACGGTGACATTTAGCACAATCATAACATTGCGCAACTGTCACTTTTATCTAGTCCCTACATGCTTTGCGCTGTCCAGAAGTTGTGAAATTTTGTGCTGTTATCAAGCAGTTACTCAGAGTTTCCCCCCCTTCTCAGCCCCTGGCACAGATCTGCTTTCTGTCTTCATGAATTTGCCTGTTCCGGACGTTTCCTGTAAGTGGAAGTAATATGATATGTTGCCTTGCGTGGTTAGCTCAATTCACCCAGCATAATTTGTTCTGCAGTTGTGGGTGTTGTACCGAGGGCCTCACACATGCTCTGTAATCCTCTGTCATTGACCTGTATCCCAGACCTCGTTTTACCTTTTTTCTTTTTTGTGTTTTGAGACAGGGTCTCTCTACATAGTCCTGGTTGTCCTGGATCTTGCTCTGTAGACATGGCTGGACTCAAACTCAGTCGCTTTTCTTCTTTTCTTTTCTTTTCTTTTCTTTTCTTTTCTTTTCTTTTCTTTTCTTTTCTTTTCTTTTCTTTTCTTTTCTTTTCTTCTCTTCTTCTTTT